TCTGTACTTAAAACCAAGTCAGCTCATTGACTATTTATGCGCATACGTGAAATTTCTTAATTTTGCGTCAAAAGAGTTTGGGAATAGTTACATATAAAGCGCCAGGCCATGTACCATGCGTATGACCTAGTCCTGCCTCTACATTCCTTCGGTCCATTAGAGCAGGAATTAACAGCACTCAAGGAGGCATTTCGAGAAGGATTTTCAAGATCACAAAGCAGCGTCAAGAGGCACCACATAATTAAAATTGCTAAATGAATTGTTCGGCGGCTCACTGATACAGCAGCCTCGAGGAGAGGGCCGATAAAATCAGGTTGGAGTAATTTAAAAAGGAGGAGAAATTTGAACTGAATTTAAAAGGACAGATAAGGTCTAGATAACAGCATTACTGCTACTGCCCTCTAGCTCCATTTGAGAGCCTGCCAAGGGCCAGGCTCTCGCTGCGGTTGGCACGGTGCACGCTCTCTCCAGATGGGCAAGAAGCTGCCGGGAGCTAGTTGTCACGGCTTTATAGTGAGGGTGGCAAAAGCATGCCCGAGGCACCCCAGGAAGCGGGGGCTGAGGCCCACGCCCAGGCCCCGTGACCCCAGAGCCCACTGCACTTCTCTCCCCCCGACCCCAGGGGCAGAGAGGGGTCTGGATGGCACAAAACACACTCTCCTAGAACAGTTGATTTAAAGATGAAAAAAAAAAAGACTGGAGCATAGGGAGCAAGTGACAACATGTCAGGTGAATTTTAGACCAGACACCTGACATAATGAACCCAGCACTTTGGGTGGACCGGGCTGGCGGGCAGAATGGACTGGACGGTCCCGAGTTCAGAAAAGCCACAGAGAGGAGGGGCCGGTCCGTGTGCCCCGTGTGGCGACAGGGAGCCAGCACGTGGCGGGCTGGGCAGCTCTGATCATTCCACGGGAGTGGAGGCTTGGGCTTGCACTTGGTGTTTGTAACCAGTCACGTTCCGTGTGACTGTGGGCAGTGACTTCAATCTCCGAGAGCCTGTTTCCTAACCTGTCCGGTCCAATCCATGGTAAGAGCTGCCCAAGGCTAAGAGAATAAGAAAAAGTGTATAGCGTGTAGTGCGTGGGAAATGATCGCGTGTTCCCTCCTTTCTTCCCTTCATAGAGGTCATGGAAATGGAAAAGAAGGGGAGAGGCAGGCGGTGAGGTCCATGTAGTGAGATCTGGTGACAGATTAGACATTGGGGGTCGGGGTGGGGAGGGGACGAGAGGAGGCAGATGTGCATCTGAAATGATAAGCCTGCATGAAAATACCTTCGTTTTTCTCAAACGGGAGTCAGGAAAAAGGGGCAGTTTTAAGAACAAGTGACCTTAGAGGTGACTGGAAGATTCCCCATTGAAAATACCCAGGAAAGAGTTAGAAATGAGACAGGAGGCTTAGGAAGAAAAGGGAAGCCAGAGCAGAACAACTTGGCGACCACTTGCTTACGAGCCTGCTCGCTATAATGGTCCACCTATGAGGACCTCGTGAAGTTGCTCAGCTGTTTTTCTTTGAATGACTAAGCTTTAGAAATCAAAGGAATATATATGAAGTTACAACATTTTAAGAAACCAAACCCCACATTTTTTAAGACAAAGAATATTAAAAGAAAATAGGCTACTTAATACAGGACTTAAGATCAATTGCAACTCCGTGTCTTTCGATTTTAAAACACAATGACGGCTTTAATGCCCGACTTAGCTCTAAAACTCTTTATCACAGGCGTAATCTCCCTCCAGAGCAAGCTTTCCTTATGGCATAGAAAAGGCAGGATGGTGTAAGGCAATAATAAAACACAGATCTCTAAAAGTATGCAGACCTCGAAAAATGCAGCTGAAATTGTGATGGTTGGGATCTGAGTGAGACAGGAGAAAGGGGCCAAGACACAGGGTGGAGAGGGCGGGGGCGGGGAGATGAGAGCAGCTTGGCTTTGTTCATTCAACATGAATACAGGCCTAGATTACCTAAAGCCAGGGTGGATAATTCTGTTTTACCGACTTCTTAAGCTTGGCGAATCTGGTCCATTGCTTCTACAAGTTTCTCAAATATTACAACTAATTCTCTGTTCCAGACACTGGATTCATGATCCACTGCGGCTGAAAGCAGACCTGGGACCACTAAGCGCATCTGGTTCTTTTGACACTTTACATGATGGTTTTTCCGCGCCTATGAGATGGTCACTGGGCAGGCCCCTGGCAGGTCTGTCCCAGGTTCATTGTCAGCTGCGGATGTTAAAAACCTGAAACCTTCAATATTCTGTGATCCCACACTTCATGGGGATATGCTATGCTGTGTGGTTTCTATAACACACCAATCGCCTAATAAATGAGTAACTTGTTAACCTTTATGTATCTAAAGTTATTATATCACTTTTCACCTTTAATTATAATAAAAGAAAATAATTTTCATGACACCGCATGTCAAGAAATAATCGGGGATTTTGCAACAGAAGAAGCTGAAGGAAAGCATCTCGCTGACTTTCAAAGAGTCCACAGGGCACTGAGTCCCTGTCCTCCGGGGCTGTGCCAGGAATTGCACTGATGGTTATATTATTAGCAACGTCTAGCTCAATACAACAACTTACTTATTCACAATGTGAATCATTTATGCTGCAGCCACTGATGATCCTTCTAATAGCTGCCTTCCGACACATCTATCCGCCCTAAGTAAGGCACTTAGAAGGCACCAGTAACACAGCAGCAAGGTCACTCAGAGGACATGTGAAGGGAGCGGTGTCGACTGCCCCCTAAGCACGCCTTTACCATACTGTGTGAGACTTGGGGGTAATACGCCACAATACTCCCTTCCCACGAAGGCTTCAGGGTCAAGACTCCACACTTTTGAGGTGATGCAGAAGCAGCTACTGACCAGGGATGAGCTCAGCGTGAAGCCCTCCTGAGACTGCTCCTAAAAAGGCAGCAAGAGTCCTCAGACAGGGCCGGGGAAACAGGAGCGACGCTTACCCCCTGGAGAAAAGCTCATTCATTCTTTCAGCAAACATTTGCGCTTCTCTCATCGGCCTGCCTTTCTCTAGAGCACGCAGCTACGAACAAGGCATTCAGAGATGCTGGCCCGCAGGGGGTGCAAAGGCGTGGGGACCCGTTCTGGAAAAGCAGGCCCCCAGGCAGGCAGCACACCTGCTTGAAATCAGCAAGTGATTTCCAGAAGATATTCTGTGCACAACTTATATGCCCACTGCCGATGAAGACCAACAGGAATTATTTCCTCCCAAACTAGATCATGGTTTCAGAAACAAACAAAACCAGACCAGCGGCGGTAATTGAAAATGTTGCGTACACAGGAATACAGATGAGCAATTACGGAAGAGCTAAATAAAATTCTAGGCTCCGGCAGCAACAGGAGGAGGGGGGTCACCCTTCAGATGGCACCCCCTCGGGCAAAACACACACCCCTCAGGCGAAAACACTGGTCCCAAACGAGAGGGAAGGATCCTGAGTCCGGTCTTGCTCTCCCTTCCCTCATTTTCTGCAGCACATCAATGGGTCTCTCAAGGGAGACATTTTTAATTTTATTCTAGGAAAACATAATGAAGTACCACAGCTATCTAACCTAAGATCATGTCACTTCTTTCTTTGTAGAAAGAACCATGTATCTTGCTGATGAGCAGACAAGTCTACAAACTCATTTACACAGAGAAAATCATCATTTATGAAAAACACACGCGATTATTCCTTTCGAATGACCTAATCTGTCACCTATATAGAGTACGCCTGACCACGACCCAGTGATGATGACCTTCTTGCGTTCTGTGCCCTTTGGCTCCTTCCATTAAACAAAATATGAAAAATTGTATTTTATGACTACATTGGTATAAAGAAAAATATAATCCAGGCTGGGTTCATGATCATATACTCACTACTACCATACTCATTTTATCCTGCTTCTAAAAGAAATTAAAATTAAAACACTTTCGTGGCCACTAAAAGCATCATAGACCCTGGGCACCGTGCCTAATGCATAACTCAGCTCGGAACCACAGGCTCTTAGTGTTCAAGCCACTCAGCACTGGAGTCATAAGTTAGGTAAAAGATCTTCTGGGACTTTCTTGCCAATAATGAAGATCTGCAGTTAGAAAACCATTGTCTTACCAGTTAACAAAACACCAATGAACTCTGAACTCTGACACAAGCAAAGTCCTCTTTACTCCATTAAAATACCATCTGTCTTTGCAATAACGTCAAGTACTTTAAATATTTATGATTCCAAAAAATCATTATTATTTTACTAGCTCAAGGCAACAAAACTCTAACCCACTGTAACACTTGGGCTTTTAATTTTGTTTTTATTCTGCTGTTTGTTTAAACAAAAAGACCTGGTGTAAAACAGAAAATATAGCCTTGTTTGTGAAAAGTGATTAACGCTGTAGCTACCAGGCTGAGATTCTTCAGCTACTCTATCGTCGCGGTGAGCATTCGATACGCAACTGAGCAACGTCAGTTCAACATTTCAGGTCTTGACCAATGGCTTATACTGCGGTCCGAGTGTGATAAATTAAAGCACTCAGGAAAGACACAGAGTAAAATAATTGCCGAGACTTAAAAAAGGGCACATGCCCTTCCTTCCCTTGCCTTTTATCTTCACTGTGGCTTTTCGAATATCACCCCCATAAAAGCAGACTGAGAGTTTCAATCTTGAACAAAAAGAATAGGTTAAAAAAGGGCAAGAAGAACGTTTCCGGCCAATGAGAAGCATTTAAAATATGATCTAAGGGCTAGCTTATTAACTAGAAGCCCCATGGGAGGGAACGGCTCCTAAGTGCGTCCCCTATCGCTGGCTCTTCCTGACCCCCTTTTCCTTGCTCACGTCTGTATTTTGAAGCAAGAGTTTTTTTTCACGTTCATCCTGTAGTTAGACTATTTCTTATTCTCTTACAAAATAGCTAAAAGCAAGAAAAACTGTGCCTACAGTGTGCTTACACAAAGATACCTAACAAACGTAAACTTTGAACATATTCATCTTTTACCATGGCTCATACTCACTGGCAATACATGAAAACAGCTCACTTTTATAGCCGAAGCTTTTCCAGCGTCGTCACCCACAGGCTCCTAATATCTGTCTTTGCCTGCAGTGGAAACACACACAAAAATTGCTCAAGTGAAAACGTGAAGATTACTTTCCCACACTGGTGAGGATCAGGGCTCATTTTAAGTAGCAAATGGAACACTGGATTCCAAAAGGACAAGATTCTCCCAGGAAAATGCCACATCTGTGTTATTTGTCCAATAGACCTAATGCAATAATCATAATTTAATTTTTAACAAGTCTTACGGGCTATGGCATTGGTAAGTTACTGATGTCCAATCTTGGATTTTTCTCCTTCCCTTGAAATACTCAGAAAATCCAAGAGACCTGAACTTTCAATCACACTTAACAACTAAGTTCAATGACTTGCCAGAAGCCAGGAAGAATTCCCTACCCAGAGAAATGAAACCTTAAGGGGTAGAAAGAAAATGGACTGTTCCACTCAGTACCAGCAATAGTGTCCCTACCTCCAAACACAAGTCCTCCACAGGATGGGAGCAGCCTTCTAAGGCCATAGCTGCTCTGTCCCTGAGTTCTTCCCTATGGTTGGAGCCCGTAATTCCTCCCGTTTAACATCTATGTGAAGTAGCTGGGGTAGGGCGTAGATGTTCATGGGGGTGATGCTTACATCTGGCAAAATTGGGGGTTGCTGTTTTTTGGTCACTAGTTTTGAAAAGAAAGAACCACAGACATTTTAATGTTTGTAGACTTTTGAAGGAAAAACAAATGTGCCCAGAAATTTATCAGCTGGATATCCTCATAAAAAGTGTTACTTGAAAATATTCCAGTTGCTGAGGGATAAATCACAATAAAAAGTTAAGAGTGAAACAGTGGCCACATAGTAGCAGCAGTGTGTGGCCAGCATTAAACGCAGGTCAAGAAGGAATGGAGTATGCTAATTATTCTAACTAGTCCAAATCGAGTGCAAACTTTCAAAAATTTTTAAAAAATGTAATAAAGAGCTTTACTATAATAACGCGCCATCTAAGTCTGAAATCCTAGATCATATTATGAAAAATGGGGAAATGAGTGGGGGCCTGTAGTAAAAGTGAGCCAATTACATTTTGTACATGGAGAGTAAAAAAAGTAGTTTCATTTGTAGCACTACCTCTTTTTAATTTGAGAGAACAAATAAAGGAACTAAATATTTAAACTCAAAGTTGAAAAGCAGCAATAAATATAATATAGGAAAGGCAGAAATAAAAATAACAGCTGTGATTCACTATTCAGATAGTTAAAAGAGCAGTAGCTGGTGCATTGCAGAATGAAATACCTTGTAGGTAGATTTCAGGCAAATCTAGTCATAAAATCCACCTTGAAAACAGAATTATTAGAGGAATATATCACAGACATGGAAGAGATTAAAAAATTAAGAGCGTTATAAGCATTATATCAAAATATCCTTGTGAATAATTTGAACCTCACAATGAAAATAGTTTTCTAAGGTGGTATTTAATTATTAAAACTAAACCAAAAATTTTAAAAGCTGAAAAACTAATGAATGTGGTTTACTTCAAGGATTAGGTTGTTCCCAATGTATAAAAAGAGCTTCTAGGTTTGAACAAATGAGGCTCCCCAGTGTTGGATGAAACTAGTACAGGCCTGCTAACCAAACCTGATGAGGCAAAGAGAGAAACAAATGTAACAGGCTTGTTTGACTTAAATAAGATAGAAGAAGACTTCATGAAGTGCTCAGAAAACTCAATTCTAGTATAGTAAAATCCTGACACAACAATATTATTGGGCTTATTCTGGAAACATTCTACATATGGATCTATTATGCTCTCTCAATAGGTCACAAGAGATCAACACATATTCACATTTCCAGAAAGGCCAAAATGGCATGTGATAAACTCAGCACCAATAACTGATAACCTCTCAGCAGCCTAGAAAGAGAAAGGTCACTTGCCACGATGTTTAGAAAGATCTAAAACCAACAGAGAGCATTTTTATTAAAAAATCAGAGAAAAATAAAAGATGCTCACAATGCAACAGTAAGAAGAAATGAACAGACTACATTACCACTATCAGCAGGTGACAAGGTTGAGTACCTAGAAAACTCAAGAAAATACCTAAAAAATACCCAACTGGAAATAGTAAAAGTGCTATAAGACATCTTATATAGTAAAAGTGCTATATAAGATGATTTAAGAAAACAATTTGCAAAAAGCAATGTATTTTGTCCAGTGGCAGCAATGACTGGTCACAAACAAATGAAAGTGGAGACAGTTGTGAAAATAGATCATATTCAATAAAACTGAGCTTATAATGAAGGATTTATATAGAAAACACTAACGGAAATCTTTGGGATAATGTTTTCCGCATGAGAAATGATGAAAAGTACAAATGTACTTTTATAAAAAGGGGAAATAAAAGCATCATCTAGCCAGGAAATTCAATAGGAGTTAAAACCATGAACTTATATTTTTGGTCTGTAGAAAGTGAAATTCCCTTTACAGGGCTATGAGACTGGCGAGAGAGCTTTTACAATCAGTGATGCTTATTTATAGGTGAATAACTGAGGACCTCAGAGGTTGTTCTATAAATTTTTTAAAAACCACATTAAGAATATTTGATTATCCGGCCTGAAGTGCAAAATCCACTGATATGTTACACTTAGGACATTAAATAAAAATAGAATTTTATGTAAAAAAAACCCAAACACACACACACAAAAAAACTTTTGAAGGTTGGGGGAATGTTATAAATATCCATTGATGTTATATTTGTGAAAAGGAAATGCTGACTGCACGTCACTGAATCACGGTAAAATAGGTCACGTTTCATTGCTTTGGGCCAAGGTACAATTCTCTAAACTTACAGTCTGGAGTGTATGCAGGGTGATGCTTAAAATAAGTTATATAGGCAAAACACAACTAATGTGCTTTTGAGAATAAAAATAAATAAAATGTCAGGGTTGCTTCTGTGAAGAGGAGACACAAATCCAATATGTCACCATGTGCTTTTAGCTACAGTTTCTAAAAATAAGCTTATTCTTAATTTTAGACAACTGAGTGCAGACAGAGACTAAAAGCTTAGTGTCCCAGACAATAACGACACGATCAATTCTAGCTTTTCCAAGACGAATGGTAAGAAAAATCACCACAGAAGAGACCAACTTGGCTGTTTATACGCAGGATAAAACAAAAGGCTTGTTAGCTTTGGATGACCATCATAACCAGGAACTAGGTAAAAACAGCTTTTGATGGCTTGAATTAGATGTTGTTTAGACAAAGAATGATTTAAAAGTCATGTCTGATTAAAAAACAAAAACACTTCTAAGGTAAGGACTGTGAAAAACCCCCAAAGTATAAATATCTTACCTAAAATGTAAATTATTTGAAATACAGGAACCCTAAAGATTTGATTATAAGCACCAAATTTATTATCTTTATTTCCTGGGTAAAACACATGAAATGTATAGTAGAAACCAAGTGAGGGTGGAAATCGCAGGACTTTAGACCAGGGTAGACTACAATATAGCTAACAGTCACACCGCCACAGAATGGCAAATCTCCGAATGCTCCTCCCAAAGTATCTACAGTACCCTCCAAATCAGTAACGGGGTGGTCAAGCAGACAAAAACGAAGAGAGTGTTTTTGAGGGGGTAGACAATTGGATCCTGTAAATCCAAAGGGAATCTCGGTTTGGACTAGAGTCCTGCTTCTGTCCCAAATTCACAAGAAATTGGTTGATCCAGTTGGGGAGGGGAGAGAATTTAAGTTATGAAACATTTTAGAATTAGAATGTCAATGCCCTGGCCGGTGCGGCTCAGTGGTTAGAGCGTCGGCCCGAGCACAGAAGGGTTGCGGGTTCAATTCCTGTTCAAGGGCATGTGCCTGGGTTGCAGGTTTGATCTCCGGCCACGGTCAGGGTGTGTGCAGGAGGAAACCAATCGATATGTCTCTCTCATATCGATGTTTCTCTCTCTCTCTCTCCCTCTTCCTCCCTCCCCCTTCCAACTCTCTAAAAAAAAATATCTTCAGGTTAGGGTTAACAAAAAAAAAAAAAGACAGATATTTTTTAAAAAAGAAAAAAAGAATGTCAAGCATTCATGTGGGCGATTATTTAAATATCTCAGACTTAGTTCTTATTAATTAAACAAATATTTAGCACCTGTTATGTACAGACACACATTTCTATTCTCATAGAGACCTCCAAACCCAGACACTCTATAGCTTTTCTTGCAGTCAAGTCAATTTCTGCTTCTCATTTGATATCTCTAATTGGCCATTTCTTGTTTCAAAGGAAAACCAGTGGGCCTCAGCCACTTAAAAAGAAACCCTAGAATTTGGAAGTGGAGACGATGAAGAAGGGGTACAAATCTTTCAATAGCTAGTATTCATTGGTTTCCTAACCAGGAAAAATACTAGTTTTAGCCATAATTTGATTAAATTACATAGTGAATGTCTGATATGTGCCAGGCACTATGCCAGGCACGGGGTTACAAAGTGAGCAAATCATGGTGTCTCTGAGGAGGGCATCTCATGTTACAAAATGAATGTGTTCTTGGAAAAACCACATAGTCAGCAATTTTTAATAAGTTGAATTGTTTTCAGTGGCATTTTAACAGATTTATTAGGGACCATCTGTCAAAATGAAGGCCCTGCCCACTCAATCCTGATGTTATATTGGGTTTGCCCATCTCATCAGGCGCTGACTGAATGCTGCACATAAATAAAGTTTATGAAATTAGTTGAGTTTTTAAGACAAGTTCAGTTCTTAGTTTGTATTATTTCCTGGGTTCCACATGATCACACACCAATACTAGGTAAAACTGGTTAAAGTTCTTTATATGTCATTAAGATATGTCAGGCTGATCCTCGTTTGCTTCCCAAATCTGGCTGTGAATTCTTTTAAAAAGTAAACCCAAAGCAGACAGGCTACAAAAGCACTGCCCACCAGATTTTGATGGCCCAGGCCTTAGAATTTGCCATTTCCTGTTTGTTTTTAAGAGAGACTACCAGTTGGCATAATTATTTAACAAAGTACTGTTAATTCTAATACTTAATCAGAGATAAGGAGTTCCAGTAAGTGACTCCTTTCTTATATTCCCCTGTATGTCCCTCTCTTTTTCATTCTTAAAAAAATGAAAGCAAAGTGGGCCTCTTAATAAGAAAAGCTGGCCAAATAGAACTCGGAATTCCAACACAATTTTCCTTTATTTTTCAGTGTCGGAGATGCACTGGGCAAAAGTGTGAAGTAGTGAATGTTTTTTGAATGAATGATGTACATTCAAGTGCCATTAAAGGCAGTAGAATTACAAAGAAAGAAAGTATACCAGTGAACAGATTGGATAGCAGCTGGATTATAAGTGCTGTAATATAGTTATCAACACTCTCCTAACTCACTTTCCTATCACTCAAGCAACCTGTGCTACTCCCAAAGTACCTAGAATGCCTCCAATATCAGAACACCAGTGATGCCCCAGGCATGGGTGCTGAGGGCCGGGCAATGACCAGGACAGACACAGTCCGAGCCTTAGGGAACCTGCAGCCAGTGGGATGGTGCGGGAGAGGG